GGGAAGCGAGAAGCAGAGGGAGAGCTTGCATTAGATTCGAGTCACTGCAGGCCCGGCCAGCATGGCTCAGGGGTTGTGTCAACCTATGAACCAGGAGGTCGTGGTTTGATTCTTGGTCAGGGCGCATGCCCAGGTTGTGGGCTTGATCCCCAGTGAGGGGCGTGCAGGAGGCAGCCGATCAGGATTCTCTCTCATCATGGATTGTCTCTCTCCCCTCCTCTCTCTGAAATCAATAAAAACATACTTTTAAAAAAGAATATGACAAGACCATGAAAATGACATGAAGTTCAAGTCCCAGTGTTCACAGGTGGGAAGGGTTACAGCCCCTTGCTGACAGTCTGGCTGCTTTCCAGCTGGACGTGAGTGGCCGCAGCAGCCTGGACACAGACTCTGAAACAGGACACACTGAGGGCCTCCGGTTCAAGCAATCACCCTCTGACCTCCACTGGACACACTGTGGACCCCCGTTTAAATAGTCACCCTCTAACCTCTACGGAACACGCCCTGGACCCCTAGTTTAGCGTATGAAGTGATTTTATTATTGATTTTGAACAGAAAAGCAATCAAAGGAGAACAGTTTTAAAATTAAAAGGGAAAGTTTGGAACATTCCTTTCCCAACCCCAGCTATTAAAGTAAGAATAGCACAGCCCTGGCCCATGTGGTTCAATGGTTAAATCCTTGGCCCGTAGGCCAAAGAGTCATGGGTTCCATTCCTGGTCAAGGGCACATACCTGGATTGCAGGTTCGATCCCCAGCCCCGGTTGGGGCGCATGCAGGAGGCAACCAATTGATGTGTCTCACTCACAGTGATGTCTGTCTCTCTCTCTCTCTCTCTCTCTCTCTCTCTCTCTCAAAAATCAATTGAAAAAATATCCTCGGGTGAGGATTAAGAAAAAATTATTTTTTAAAAAGGAGTAATAGCACAATGTCAACTCGCCACCCATGGGACACCTGGTAGATGAGACAACTCAGGTGACACAGGCTTTATCCGCGCCACCGACCACTGCTGGGTTCAGGTACCTGAGCAAACCGTGCAAGGCTCACTAGAACTGCACCTGCGTGGCCAGGATACAGGTTCCAAACAAGGATGGGGTCTAAGAGCAGGAAACGAAACATCAGGTGTGTTACACGCAGGGCGCTACGTGGTCAACTCAGGAGTCAATTCTCCTGTGAAGCCGAACGCTCTCCACGGGGGACTGTCCACGCATGTTAGACGCTCTCAGTAAAGCTCAACAGAGCGGGTTCCCGCTCCAACATTAAAACAATCAAAACCCAAAACAGACAAACAAAAAACCAACCAACAAACACCTGTGGCTGCTTTAGGTTTGGGGAGAACCATGATGAGAGAGGAACCCGCGTGAGCAGCAAAACGACACGCAGTGAACGGCTAAGTCACCTGGGGGAGGGAGGCTGGCGTCGCCCACCCCTTCCTCGAGGACACCAGGTAGCCTGTCAGAAACGGAGCCCGTTCCTGCCCACCTTCCTGCCAGCACTCCTGAGGTGACTTTCCCACGAGAACCTACGTCCCAGGAGATGTCAATAACGTGTAAGAATTATTCCCACGCAGATGTGGGCGGCGTGCCTGCTTCTTCATCAAGAAACCACCGCATGGGCCTCACGGAGCGTCTATGACAGCCAGTCGGCTCAATGACGACAGAAGAGGCCCACTTGTCAGCTGTGTGGTAAGACTTCCGTGAAAACCTGAGGTTTATAAAAAATACCCTGGGCTCCCATTACCACCATCTCTGGTCACTGTAAAGAGCTGGAGAGCTAATACACACTGGACACTTATTGCCTTCCCTTCACGTGAGGACTTTGCAATTTCACAGCAGACTAGTACTATCAGCCAAACATCGACTTTGACTTGGTTACCTTAGCCCCAAACACACACACATACAGGTACAAACATACATACACATGCATATACTAACATATGCACAAACACATGTATACATAGACATGTGTGCAGGCACACTCACATGTGTACACACATGGATGTAGACATGCATGCACGTGTGTGCATAAACAACTGTTTGCACGGACACGCGTGTGTACGGATATGCGTGTAAACTTACATGTGTGTGCACCCATGTACATATATGCATCTATACAGGTGAGGACATGAATGCATGCACACATATGCATAACCCACACAGAGATACACATGTATACTGATATGCATGTGCTCACATGTACATGCACACATATGCATAAAATGCACACATAGATACACGTGTGTGCAGAGATGGATGCATGTGCACATAGATACACATTTGAGCATGCACGGGTACACATGCACACACATAAAGTCCACACTATTTGCTATTACTGTCATCCTTCTAATAGGACACCAGAGAGGACATTGGCCACTAACCTGAGGTGACCAGTCAGTGCCCTGCGACTAGCAGGAGCCTCTCTAAGCCACCACCACCATAGTGTCACGTGCTCCCCGGGCGCTGGCCCTCCGGCCGTGAAACGCAGGTTCCAGGAAGGCCAGGTCGACTAGCACTTCCCCTTCCACCGGCCCTCCGCCGCCACCTCCCGTCTCACACTCCGTGGGCGAGCACGGGTGGGCTCAAGGCTGGCAGCCGCCCTGGCATGTGGGCTGTGAAACCCCTGGCTTCCCCACCTCCACGGCAGCACCTGGGGGAGCTTCTGCAAAATACACCTGCCCGACCCACACAGCTGTGGCCTCAACCTGCGCGTAAACATCTCCCATGACGGGCGTGGCTGTGGGCACAGGGCGGCTCGGCACCACCGGCCCAGAGGAACTCAGCCCCGGGCTCTTGATTCATCCGCTAAACAACATAAGCCGGAAAGCAAACCGTCCGTCCTGGCCGTGGTGCCCGAGCTTTTGTTTTTAAATGTTGCACAGGTGCCTGCATGGCGAGCACACTGAGAAGTCCCGCAGCAGTGGTGTGTCCGTGGCCTTTTCTCATCAGGAAAACAAAATCATTCTAAACTCAAGGAAGGCGCTGTGCCGACGGGGCTGGGAGGCTAGGCGTGTTTGCAGAGTCACACCTCCCATGGTGCGGGCAGCGCGCCTACCTGGCGTGGTGTCGGCCGTGCCAGGACGGGCAGGCGCCGGCGGAGGACAGCTGGCAGGTGGGTGTCTCGGGGTGGCTGTCGGAGAACTTGGTGGCGTGCCAGGAGTGGGGCCTCCAGCTCAGCTCGTTCCTCCTGAAAGAGAGCGCATGTGACTCAGGGACTGCACACAGGACATGGTCATGCCGAGGCGGCCAACGAGTCACAGTGACTTCTACATGATGCATAGCCCGTGTCCAGGTGCTGCCGCCGTCCATGGGCATAAGCGCGCTTTCTAAATGTCTGTTGATGCCCGGCCGGCGTGGCTCAGGCGTTGAGCGTCGACCCACGAACCAGGAGGTCACAGTTCGATTCCCGGTCAGGGCACCTGCCCGGGTTGTGGGCTCGATCCCCAGTGTGGGGCGTGCAGGAGGCAGCCGATCCATGATTCTCTCTCATCATTGTGTTTCTCTCTCTCTCTCTCTCTCTGAAATCAATAAAGATATGTTTTAAAAAGAAACAACATTATGCAAGAAAGAAGATTAAAGGAAAAACCAGAAAGCATTTACAATTTAAACCCCCTTGGGTGGCAGAACATGGGCAGTGTGGACTTTACAACAGTTTTCCATGAACTCAAACAAAAAACAGACGGATTCTTTGCGCCGCCGAAGTAAAGGGGTTGTAAGACCAAGACTGTACCTCATGGCATTTCTCAAGATCCTCATAAGGAAGGTCCTGGCCCTGTGAGAGTCCGTTTCAGATGGCTTTCTCTGGGCTACAATATCCATTACTTCTCTCATCTCCAGACCTTCACAGCTAGTTAATGAAGAAAATTGACTAGACTGATCGAAACAAAAGCAGAGAGAAAAGGAAGACTGCGGGGAGGAAGAGGGGTGTGTGCCTTATACGCTGGGACATTACACTCTGGAATGCCTCAGGCATGGCTGGGGTTACTGGGCCATGATGTCCTTCCTTCTAGAAAGATAACACACAGATAAACAGCCCGGCTGGGTTGAGAATGGAGCGTGGACCTATGAACCAGGAGGTCATGGTTCGATCAATTCCTGGTCAGGGCACATGCCCGGGGGCGTACAGGAGACAGCAAATCCATGATTCTCTCTCTGTCTCCCTCTCCCCTCCTCTCTGAAATCAATATATATAAAAAGAATAAACAAATGAAACCCTGTAGAAAGGGTTACACTACAAGCTACGACCGAGGATGTCACGGGCTGGGGACAGGGACATTTGCCTGGAGTAGGCGTGCTTTTGTCCAGGCCTGTGAACTTCCTGGGGCACAATGAACCTATTTGGGATCAGAGAAGGTTCCGGCTGCTTGTCCGCAGGCACTTGCGGCCTGAAACGGGTACATCTGTGACGATAATAGACAAGGCCACTCAGCACCCGCGTGCCAGTCACTCAGTGACAGTCCAGTGAGGACACTGGGTGGGAAGTCTGGGCACAGAGCGTGCTGGTGCCACCTGGAGGCCTCAGTCCCTGTCCCTCAGGTCCAGCTCACACCCACCCATGCAGCAGGAGTGAATGGCAAGAGCAGATGTAAGATCTTTTTTTTTTTTATTGTTAATCCTCTCCTGCGGATATTTTTCCACTGATTTTCACAGAGAGTGGAAGGGAGGGGGAGAGACAGAGAGAGAGAAACATGGATGTGAGAGACACATATCGATTGGTTGCCTCCTGCACACACTTCACCCAGGGCCAGGGATTGAGCCTGCAACCGAGGTACGTGCCCTGGACCGGAATCGAATCCAGGACCCTTCAGTCCTCAGTCCCATGCTCTGTCCACTGAACCACACCGGCCAGGGCCCAAATATCATCTTTAATCAGCACAAACATTCCTTTCATCATCACTGAAAAGCTGTGGCCCTGACTATTCGCACCAGCTTTCCTGGTTCCCCAGATAAAACTATTCATTATGACGAGGGTCCCATGAAACTTTTCCCCCAAATTGCACACCAAGATTAATCTAAATTCACTTCAACTTTTAAAACTAACTTTAAGTGGGTCAAATATATGGTGACGGAAGACAATGTAACTTTGAGTGGTAGGCACAAAGGCAATATACAGATGATGTACCATAGAATCGTATACTTGAAACCTATATAATTTTATTGGCCAATGTCAACCCAATAAATTTAATTTAAAAAATAATTTCAGCCTCGCAGGCATGGCTCAGTGGTTGAGCATGGACCAATGAACCAGGAGGTCAGAGTTTGATTCCTGGTCAGGGCACATGCCCGGGCTGTGGGCTCGATCCACAGTAGGGGGCATGCAGGAGGCAGCCGATCCATAACTCTCTCTCATCATTGATGTTTCTCTCTCTCTCTCTCTCTCTTCCTTTTTCCCTGAAGTCAATAAAAATATATTTAAAAAATAATAATTTTATATGCTAGGTAGTGTTGTGTTGTGTTTTGTTTTGAAGGGACAGGGTTTATATAACAAATACTAACAATGCTAGGCTATCACTCAAAGTTAAGATCAACAGATGTAGATACCAAAATTCATTTTTAAAGGGCAATTGAATAAGTGCCTCAATGAAATAGTTCATTCATATAAAAAGCAGAACTCCCTCCTTCCCCTCAAAAAAAAGAGTGCTGGGTTATTTTTCTAACCTTTTCAAATGCAGCAAATGGGCACAGCCTCACAAAACAAACAAGGTCTGCATTTATCCCCATGAACTTGGCGGGTCTGACAGGATAGGACGGGCTGGCTGAGAGGCCAACGTCGTCAGTGTGGGGGGCGGGGACCTGGCCCAGCACGCCTGGTGGACACTGGGATGTGGGCATGCGTGGAATAAAGCCATAAGGAGCACCACCCAACAGGCCCCGAATAAACCCGCTCCGAGCCGGCCACTGCCCTCGGTTCCTGCCCAGCCTCCGGGAGCCCAGGCCCTCAGCAGCCCTCCCATCTGTCTGTGTGTCCACCCTCCCCCGCTCCGCTCGCCAGCTCTGCCCCTCACTCCAGAACCTTCAGCGGCTCCCAGTGTCCACAGAGGGAAGCTGGGCTCCCAGTGCCCTGGCTTCCCGCCCAGGGTTGTGAGCACACTCCTTGGCCAGCCCCGTGGGCATTATCTGGGCCAGCAGCCCAAGCCCTCCTGGCAATTCAGGAGGCACAAGCCCTCCTGGCAATTCAGACGCAGGCCCAGGCCTGAGAAGCACTGTCTAGCCCAGTGATGCCAAACCTATGACACGCGTGTCAGAGGTGACACGCGAACTCATTTTTGTGGTTGATTTTTCTTTGTTAAATGGCATTTAAATGTATAAAATAAATATCAAAAATATAAGTCTTTTTTACTATGGTTGCAAAGATCAAAAAATTTCTGTATGTGACACGGCACCAGAGTTAAGTTAGGGTTTTTCAAAATGCTGACACGCCGAGCTCAAAAGGTTCGCCATCACTGGGCTAGCCCAAGCCACCTCGTCACCCCTTCCCTACAGTCCCCTTTTGCTGAGTCCCCTCTGCCATTGCCTTTGGGAGGCCCTGGAATAGCTGACGTGGGCCTAACAACAGCTCAATGATCCTGTCCTTTGGAAAGATCGCTGAGTTCTACGTGCCC